AAGAAGAAGAAGAAGAAGAAGAAGAAGAAGAAGAAGAAGAAGAAGAAAAATGGAACGAAGTAAGGGAGGGATGCGTGCTTAATAATTTGCTACGTAAGTGACAGCCCACTAAGGGGTCAAGCATTAAAACCACTGGCTTTATATTTCAGTGACTCAACACCTGAGCTGCTGTTAAGAGATGGGAGTCCTGATTCGAGGTTCAGAGCATCAGGGAACAGCAGAGTAGGTATGGCAGTTGGGACAGCCCTGACTTGGGCAGAGTGTGAGGGGATAAAGTAGAGCTGGGACCAGAATCAAAGCTAGGCAGGAACCTTGAAAACCTGCATCCCAAAGGTTCCACAAACCCTCCAAACAGTTGAACCTAGCATTCAGATACGTGAGTCTTGAGGGATATTTCTCCTCAAACCGTAACAGTAACAAAAATACATAGGTCAAATCCCAAAGATGTCATTGAGCCATTTAAAAGAAAGAAAGAAAGAAAGAAAGAAAGAAAGAAGGACGGAAGGAAGGAAGGAAGGAAGGAAGGAAGGAAGGAAGGAAGGAAGGAGAAGGGAAGGGAAGGGAAGGGAAGGGAAGGGAAGGGAAGGGAAGGGAAGGGAAGGGAAGAGAAGAGAAGAGAAGAGAAATTGAGTCTCTCGTGTGCATCTAGAAGACACTTGCAATTAATTGTCAGACTGGATAAAATCTGACGGAATGAAGAGAGGGCCCAGGACTTCTGACTGGAAAACTTAGGAAGTAGCTCTATTTTCTTGAGGCTAACTGACATGATCTGCAATCTCTGCCCATTGCTACTTTTGTTTTACTTTTCTTGGGAGAGCTTCACAGATGCCTTTATCCGAAGCAGTTGTACCTGCACCGTCTGCTCTCATCCTTCAGAGAGCTTGTCAGAAGCTATGACCGACTAAGTCGGAGTATTTTGCCTTCTGACCGACTAGGTCGGAGTATTTTGCCTTCGTTTGTCCACGAGGGAGTGTGTTTGACAAGGTAGGGGTTTTTTGTTTCAATCTGCATTCCTCACGCTTAATACAACGTGAGCCACACAACGCAGATCACACAAATGCCTAGTGAGGAACTGAAGTGGGTGAGGCCATTGGTCAACACAAGAGGAACTTACTAAGGCTAAAAGGGAAATATAATAATGATGAAGCTGGGCAATTGTTTAAAATGCCAGCCAGGTATTTCTTTTGACCTCCCCTAAAGGGACAACAAATTAAGCGGCAAAGGCTTTGAAGTAGGGGGCTCCACGCTAGAGAATACACTTAGCGTGTGCCAGCCCCGGAGTTCCATCCCTAGAACTAAAACAAACGCAAAAGAATACATAGCAAAGATTGTAAGGGTTTTGCCTCAATGTCTCCTTCCATAGAGGACCCAAGATTGACAATATATATTGATCATTTCACATGTTTAAAGCACAGAAAATTTATCAGCCGTCCAGGGTTCTCTTAGAAGCTCCCAGGATGGAGGCTTCTGTACCTCCCTAGTTCTCTCATGTCTGGTGAATAGTCCATAAAAGTTGACTGTTTTAACGTATGCTTTAATTACAGCTTTTAAGCATCCTCTTACATGCTTTAATTATAGTTTTGGCAAATGAGCTAGAAATGGCACTGATTTTGCTGGCATTTATTTTTTTGTTTGATCTTACTCAAATTGCCCATTTCTCTAAATGCTTTTTATACCAAAGGTCCATTAACAAAACGTGTTTCAATCTCTCTTAGCGGAGCCCTTGCACTGAGGGCTAAATGTGTTGTTCCCCACAACAAAAGCTACCGGAGGCATGCGGACTGTCCCCTTTGACGTTGAAAGCCATCATTTCCTATCTTTGCAGGTCCTGTTCCTTCTCAGAGAGCTTTCACGGCTCCTCTGTACCTAAGATTCTAAAGACAGCATCTGACCATCATTAGACCATGTACATCTTCTTGCCTTCCTTTCATTTCCCACCCTACGAGGGACTTTTTAGCTGTGCCTGAAGGCAACATACCTAGCATGTGGGAATGGGTAGAGCTTAGAAGAATCTCGTCCTCGTTTTCCTGCTACTCTTGTGGGCACGTTGATTTGAGTAATGTCATTGCCCTTATGGTGTGCTGCTAATTATGAGAAATTGGTGTTGCCCAAATTCCATTAGTGTTCTGCTACACAGAATGATGAACGCATAACACTTACTTTAAATGCATACCTACACGCTTACACCATTTGAAGGCGGAAGAACGGACTATTATTGAAACCATAGCTTTTCTTCTTCGCTGCTAGGCAGGTCTGTGTCACTGGAAAGGGACGGAGGGTGTTTCTTTCCAGTGCAGATGTCTAACCTACTCTTTCCAAATGATTTAAGAGACGACCCAAGACCGAACTCGCCAAAGTCATCCTAGCAATTTGGAATGTACACAGATCACGGGTTAAAAAGAAGCCCACACACAAACGTAAACCCTCCTGAGCTAGGTGACACCTCACTTATCTAGAAAGGTGATATTTTAAAGCACATTTTTAAGGCAAAGGTTTGAGCAGTGGAGAATTCACTGATACATCACCACAAATATATCTCCCCCCAGGAAACACAGATTAATGCTTTGATAGGAAAACAGCCAAGGGATATAGGAAGACGGTTATGTGCAGAACGAGAAACTGCGTCCCCAGGTTACCACTATTTATCAATTTTCCTGCCAATAAAATTTGCCAGTCGGTTTGTGGACCTGGGGTGCAGATGAACAACTTTATATGGAAAAACCCTTGTCTTTAGGGGGAGATCTGCTCAGGGAAATTACTACCCGTCAGCAATCTCTTACCCAGGGTCCCCTGCACCCTTCTCAGCACCCAGCGCGGCGCTTGATCAGCACAGCTCTGCTCTGGAGGAAGAGTCACTAAAAACCTTTCTTAAAATCGAGAGATTTTGGTTTGAGGAAAGAAGCTTTTTGAACTCAATTTCCTCATAATTTAAAAGTTTTAAGGGCTCTTTAAAAAGGAATTATCTAGATTGGTAATCCTTACCTTGCAACCAAGAAAAAAAAATAACTTCTATTATGTTTGGTTTAAAATTATGTTTGTAAACTTTTTTTTTTTCTTTTCTTTTTTGACAAAGTCTCTCTGTAGCCCTAACCGCCCTGGAACTCCCCATGTAGACCAAGCTGGGGCCACATTCACAAAGATCTTCCTACGTCTGCCTCCTGAGTTCCGGGATTAAAAATGCACAGCCCCACCCACCCACCCACACCCACACCCCCGCACCTCCGTTCTTTCCTCGTCTGTCTAGCAGAGGCTGACAGGAAGGAAGGCAGCAGGGAGAATTTGCCAAGTGCAAAGTACCCCAAGTGTGACCACCCACAGAGGCATGAGTGGCTTCACTGCAAGACAGCCCCACCACCTGGATCTCAGGGAAATCTTTTGGTCCTGAGAACAGTTTCTTAAGAAAGAGGGGTGTGTCCACAACGGACAGGAAAAAACAAAACAAAACAAAACAAACAAAAAAACCAGCAGGAGAAAAAGTTAGACACTTTGAATTCCAAGTTTAGGAAGGTTAAGAAGCGGACTAACTTAGAAAGGATTTGAAGTTCTGAGAAGATTGTAATTCCCCATATGTTGTTTAGTTTGAAGATATGCATAGCAGATTACATGGTTGCTTAAATTGATGACTTTTCCACAGATCCTCTTTTGAAAATGGGGTCAGCGTGAGGGGGAGCGTGTCGACTGGCAAGACGGTTCAGTGGGTGAAGACACTCGCCACCAAACCCGATGATCTGGCTACAACTCCCCGAAACTTACATGGTAGGCGGAGAGGACCAAGCCCTGCAAGCTGTCCTCTGACCACGGCGTGTGCACAGCACGTCTCTCTCTCTTTCTTGCACGCATGCATGCACACACGCGCGCGCACACACACTCACACACACTTGTGCTGGGGGAGAGACCGTGTGCATGCACTGAAGGTCAAACTCGCTAAACAAGCTTTTTATCACTGGACCGTATGTCCAGCTCACTCCAGTTTCTTTCCTTAGAAAAGTTTAAGTTCATCACCACTGAGCCTCCTTTCCACTCTGTTATCTGGGCTCTGCTGGTGTGGATGGAGAAACCCAAAATGGGCAAAGACCTCATCTGAAGCATACCTTTCCTGGCTTGTCTCCCAGCCCAAAGACACGTATAAATTTGGTCCTTACTAAATGGACGTGGGCTGAGGATGCAGCGTGGTGAAGATGCACTCTTTACACAGCTGGTTACCTAGAATACATTGTCAACAGCGCTTTTAATACTCCACACCTTACTGCACAAAACTCGCTCTTCTCCTTCCTTCCCTCCTTCTCCCCCTCCCCCTCCCTCCCCCTCCCTCTCTCCTTTCCTTCCTTCCTTCCTTCCTTCCTTCCTTCCTTCCCTCTCTCCCTCCTCCTTCCCTGCCCCCTCCCTCCCTCCTCCCCTCCTTCCCTCTCCCCTTTCCTTCCTTCCTTCCCTCCCTCCCTCCCTCCTCCCCTCCTTCCCTCTCTCCTTTCCTTCCTTCCTGAATGACCAAAGCATCTTTACTCTGATGAAACACTTCTGCAGGGTAGATGCAAAATCGCGATGCTTTTGGGCTCTTTCCCTCACAAGCGTTAAAAAGAAGAAACCTGTTCAGAAACGAAAGGCTAATACAAGTAAACACGTGGGAAGCATTACAGATGCTCTGTTCCCGTTAAAACGGAGGGGCTGGTGTGGGGGGGATGGTATCCTAGTGGTGGAGTGTGTGCCTAGTATATGGGAAGTGCTGGGTCTGATGCCTGGCACGGAAAACAAACGGACAACAACGAATTTTATAAAGTGAAAAGTGTTTCGTTTTCTCAGGCAAGTTTTGGCTCCAGAGCCAAAGCGTGCGGTTAACGCAGTGCCTCAAGTTGAGTTGTCGCTCCAAAGTGAAAAGAACTCTCCAGAAAACCGCAAGTGGAGGATCCCAATCCCTTGTTCCACAGCAGTTGACTCACGGTGGTCTGTTTCATTAGGGAACATACATACATACACAGTACTTTTAGGCAAAAATATCCCATATCAACCGGCATTTAAGTTATGTAACACCACTAGGGAAGGAGTCATAAGTGAGAAGGTTCTTTTGTTTGTTTGTTTGTTTGTTTGTTTTTGTTTTTTAGACAGGATTTCTCTGTAGCTTTGGAGCCTGCCCTGGAACTAGCTCTTGTAGACCAGGCTGGCCTCGAACTCGCAGAGATCCACCTGCCTCTGCCTCCCGAGTGCTGGGATTAAAGGCGTGCGCCACTACCGCCCAGCTCGAAGGTTCTTTACTTTTATAAACATTAAGCCATAGAACAATTCTAAATGGACTTTAAAATAGAATCATTCGTATTTAAATAATATTCATTTTAAATAATATCAACTTGGGGGGCAATCCTGTTGGCAAGAAACCTACTCAAAATCACTAACATCATGAGGAATATAATCCCTGGGATAACCGGGCAGCATCCCCTGAGCACAGTGAGCCCTTCCTCATTAAGTTCTTCATTCCTGCTTTAAGGGACTTGGCTCATCTATGTACAGACATTCACCGTTGCTTTTCCCAGACTTCTTCCTCTCATGATTCAGGGCTTAGCTGACTTGGCCCGTGTCACTTGGGGAGGGTCTCTAGCTCCTGCCTGCCCTTTCTACCCATTCTTCAAGCCCATACTCCAGTGATGTCTAAATTTTCTTGGTATTTCTTGCAAGAATTTCCGTGAAATTCTTGAGTTCTCACTAAATACCTTGCCCTTAAGAAATTCTCGTTTCCTATGCCTAGATTTGAGGTTGACTAGTTACAGGCTAGGGGAGGATGCTTATTAACCCTTGACCTCACGCCAAAGATATCAGCCTAACCCAAAACATTCTGAGAATGTTGGAATGCTTGACATTTAAGGGGTAAATTCTAAATGGCTTATTTTGTTACCATTATAGTTACCGTGACGTCAGTGGCAGAGTGATGGAGGCATGCAGTGATGCACCGTGGAGTGTCCTGGCTAAGGACCAGGGAGCTTTGGCTTAAAATCCATCCCTTCCATTTACCCAGCCTGGGGAATGGGCTCACTGTTTCAACCATCACGTTCTTACCTTCAAAAATGTTCCTGGGGGGGGGGGGGCTGGAGAGATGGCTCAGCGGTTAAGAGCACTGACTGCTCTTCCAGAGGACCCGGGTTCAATTCCCAGCACCCACATGGCAGCTCACAACTGTCTGAAAATCCAGTTCCAGGACATCTGACACCTTCACACTAATGTACATAAAATAAAGTTAAATAAACCATGAAAATATTTAAAAAAAAAAATGTTCTTGGGGGCTGGAGAGATGGCTCAGTGGTTAAGAGCATTGCCTGCTCTTCCAAAGGTCCTGAGTTCGATTCCCAGCAACCACATGGTGGCTCACAACCATCTGTAATGAGATCTGGTGCCCTCTCTGGCCTGCAGGCACACATGTAGGCAGATATTGTATGCATAATAAATGAATAAAAAAAAAAACCAAAAAAAGTTCCTGACTTTACAGGGTATTGGAGTGGGAGGTCCTTCTGTCCATGTGTTGCTTTTATTGGTTAATGAATAAGAAAACTGCCTTGGCCTGTTGATAGGGCAGAGCTTAGGAAGGTGGGGAAAACTAAATGGCATGCTGGGAGAAAGGAGGCGGAGTTAGAGACAAGCAATGGAGCCACCGCCAGAGTAAGACACACCGAAACTTTGTTGGTAAGCCACTGCCACGTGGCGATACATAGATCAATAGAAATGGGTTGAATTAATATGTAGAGCTAATGAGCCAAGCAGTGTTTTAATTAATATAGTTTCTGTGTGGTTATTTTGGTTCTGGGCGGCCGGGATGAACAAGCGGCCCTTCATTTATGAAGATTTTCTAGGAACATGTTTGGAAGGCTCTAATCATTGTTGTTATGTGTTCTGAGTGAACCATGGGATTTGTTATCAGAGTAGGTGATTGTTCATGAAAACAAAAACAGAGGCTAGGATTTCAGCTCAGTGGTGGAGCATGGGTGGAGGGAGCATGCACAAGCCCTGAGCATGGGGAAAAATAAGCAGAGTGTTTTATCAGGCACGGTAGCACATACCCTTAATCCAGTATCTTTAGGGGCTAAGGCAGGAGGTCTACCATGAGTTAAAGGCCAGCCTGGGCTACATAACCAGACCTTGTCTCAAAAGACACCATCAGAATTACCATCATCACCACTACCATCACCATCATCATCATCATCATCATCATCATGATTTCAGAATGTTCTGGATTCCTCCTCTGTTCCTGACATCTTTTCAAAAGCCATCATTGTCAATCTCTTCATGCATAGTTCCAAAAATCCACCTTTTAATGCTTATCTTTCCAAGCTAAACTTTGTTCCAACGTTTAGCCACTTCCTAGTTGACCATTTATCCTGGCAGGCTTGTGCATCTACAAGCTGATGAAACTCTTCACCAATCAAATGGTCTTTAACAAGCATCCTCCTGGCTCTACATCTTTTTCACCTTACTTTTGCCTTCTGTCCATGCCAGCTTGATCTAGAGAATTGAAGCAACTCATTTGGGGATGCTTCACAGAACTCAGAGGTGTGGGTTATTTCTGCAGACCACACACAAGTCCCCAAGCATGCCTGATAAGTGTTTGCCCACTGAACTAGTCTTCTGGCCCCTTCAAAGTGTTGGGAGATAATACCAAAAAGAAGAAAATGACTTTCTACCCTCCAGGTAACTTTCCAACTGGCATCATCACCATCTACAAAGCTGTAACTGCTCAAGATTTGTCCTGTGCTGAATTCAGCACCAAGGAAACTCCATCAAATATCATAGTCAAACAAACAAACAAACAAACAAAAGGCATCACAGCAGACACAGCAATAATTTCCAGTTCTAAACGGTGCCATTAATAATAGACTCTTGTAATGGTCTCTTTTCCCACCACCCCACAAAACAGACCGAAGCTTTATCTGCGGATCAAACGCCAAGGAGGAAAGCCGGCAAGGCCCAATGGTGCGATGTTAAGTTATGGTAGACTATAACTCGTTTCTAATTATCCAGTGGAGAAGGGCTGTGTAGCAATGGAGCAAAATCCTGAAAGTATAGTAGAAAAGATCAACATAAATATCGTGAATTGCTAGTTTTGTTTGGAGTTTCTCTCTCTCTCTCTCTCTCTCTCTCTCTCTCTTAAATAATGCACAGAGCTAAGGAACAAACATGAGGTCCTGTGTTTCCTAGGGCCTTTCAGTGATGTTAAAATATCCTCTGTAAAAAGCAAAGATGCGTGAACAAATCAACAAATTAACAAAGCCTTCCACATATTATAAGAAAATGTAGAAAAGAAAGGAAGAATTATTAGCAGCTTACATCAAAAAAACCGGGATGGCTCTCCACTAGGAAGAGCTTGTATGATCCACGGCCCACTATTCAAAGTGAACGTTGCCACAGTATTCCTCATGGGCTCTGCTTCCTTATTTCATGTTTTAAAACTTGACTCTATTTCAATCAGCTAGAAAAACAACTTAGCTCCTATTTTTTTAAAAAAAAAATGGGCAAAGAAACTGAAAACAGACAGTAGTCCTTATTAAAAATATAATTGCCCCTTAAACATAACAAAAGCTGTCAACTTCGCTCACAATAAAAGAGATCCAATTAAGACATTGTAAGGTACCTTTTTAACCATCGAACCTAAAGGACATTCAAAGCATACCACAGAAGTTGTGTGTAGGGAGTCATGTGTTTCTGGAGATTTATTAAACCACACAATACTTATAAATTTATAATTTAGCATACAATACTTATAGAAGGCAATTTAGCAATATCACTCAAAATTACAGAGCATATCCTTAAGACCCAGCAATTCCCCTCCTGGAAAGTTATCTTACTGATCGATTTCCAAATGTAGAAAACGTCCCACGTGTAGGAGTATTTACTCCGACACTGATCGGAAAAGCAGAACACTGGAGTCACCTTAACCAGCATATAACATCTAAGGTTACATATAATAACAAAACAGCATGAGGCAGCTTGGAAATACATTTCTCCCCCATTAAAAAAAAATAAGATCACTTCCTAATAAATCAGAAGGAATGCAGTTGACTAGTTAGGCAAGGGGACATGTTTGAGGGGTTAGGCTACAGCGATTGGAACCGTGAAACAGAGCTGCAGTCCCAGCCACTCAGAAGGCATTGGCAAAAGGATGCCATGTTCAAGACGCCCCAAGTGAGTTCCGGGTCAGCCTAGGCAGTTAGGGAGATCTCACTTGAAGAGAAAATGTTAAGGAAAGGAAAGACTGTCGCACACCCCACTGGGGAGCAGAACATTTATGTGGAAGATACAAGGCCTTGTACTGACCACACACGCACACATTCACACACACGCGTGCACACACTCAAAGGAGTTCTGTGAAATAAAAAAGAACATAGTAGTTAACACGCATTAGTTTTCACATGCTAAGGTATACAAAACTGCTAAACTTTGTCCCCTGTCTGGAGACCCAGACAGATGGAAGATTGATGTAAGACGCAGGTTTTTCAGTAAAGAATTAATTTCTAACTTTTAATCTTTCCCTTTCTTCTTCAGGACTAGTGGCTGAGGCAACCATTCTTAAACTCTGCCACTGAATTAATCCCCCAAACCCTTACATTCTTTAAACTGTCATGAAAATGTCTCACTCCTGAAAAACTTAAAATCTATTTATTTTTATGTTCTCGGGGATTATAACACACTGAATATAATGTTCAATCTTTAGGGTCATTCACAATTTTTGAACTGTAACGAGACACCTCGTTCTATTGAGAATTCCAAATGCCAAGACCATACATCTGGAGTCTGTAGCCTCTTAAGAATTTGAACCTTCCCGATGTATAAGAAACAGCATGGTTTACCATATGCTGATCAGCCTGGGGGCACAGCATTTTCCGATGATCAATGCTGTTTCTCCTTTCCTAGGTGCTCTGAAACATCTTTCCTCCTGCATTCTCTTGAATAAGCTCGGTCACATGGCCCTTTGCCACAAAAAACCATGTCACTTCCTAAAAAGGGGGTTGCCATAGATCGTCATTCTCCTGCCCCACCCAACTGCCTCTGCAGCCTTAAAAAGATTCTTCCGGTCTAGAAAAATTCAGATGCCTCCCTGTCTCTGCAACATCTCAGAACTATTTGGCAGTGCCTCTTGAATGGTTGTTCTACTCCATAGATGAGGAGGCCGCTAAGAGTTGGCGGGGAGGGTGACTGATTTGCCAACTCTCACCAGGGCCTGACCTGATTGGTCCAGGGAATGGACATGCCTGTTTTCATGGAATCTCTGTTGAATAAACAGATGCACACTCGGGGCATGGTGGGGGGCAATGAGTTGAAGCCACAGGAGAAGATAAAAGAGATGAGCCAATCTCTGCCTCGACCAGGGAGGGTGAGGTAAAAACACATAATTACAACGTGGACATTGCCTAAGGGATTGTAAATTAAGCTGTATAGGAGTCAAGGCAAGGCGGCTTCTAGAACTTTTTTTTTTCTCCTCTTGGAGATAAGATCTCAGGTAGAAGGCTGGTCTCCACTTGCCTGGCAGCTGAGGATGACCTTACACACTTCTGATCCTCCAGCTTTGAGGCCTGTGATCGCAAGCTTGTGCCACCATACCCGTTTAATTCGGTGCTGGGTGTTGAACCTAGCGCTTTGGCATACTGGGCAGGCGCTCTACCAACTAACTGAGCTGCATCCCCAGTCCCAGGAGAGTTTTAAAAATATATTATGTGTCTGAAAATATACAGCGGTATTTCAAAATCGGTCTTGAAAGGCTGGTGTGGTTCTCTCAAGGAGGACCAAGGCCCTTGGTTCAGATTATCACAAGCCTATAGGGGTCAGACAAGGGATATGTGGGAACGGACGGAGCGAGTGGGGGAGGGGTGATACAAGTGGTCTAGGAGCTTTTTAATCAGGCTGTGCCTGATCTGGGAGATTTTATCCTGTCCGGGACAGAACATTCATTGCCCAGTGCGTCTGTCCAGTGTCTCCATGGGGAACACAACCCTGGGACCGTAAACGTTCTAACCGTTCCCATAACAGTCCAGAGCTGAAACCGGCTGCAAGCCGTCAAAACGTGACCACGGCTTCCTACT